GAATCCCATCCTTCACAGAAAGGCAGCTTTTGGAGAAATCTCTTGAGTACAAGCTTTTTACTTTTCAGTGCTGGTTTTTTCATAGGGAAACAAATTCATTCAACCTATGACCAACAGAAATCTTCTCGCATGACTTTACTGATTGTGAAACTCACCCTTCTTCACAGTAGGACCGTTGAACAAGACAATTACTTTTAACCATATTCAGCTTGGTAATTCCTCTGTTTTCTTAAAACTAAAAAGAGCATTCAAATTCACCTGGACCAGGCTCATTCTATCTCAATCTCTAGATGATATCATCAAAAGCAGGACCGGCTGCTGTTACACAAGGATTTTACAAATTGTTTAAAGCAATCAATTTGGATTTGCGCTCCTCTCGCTTCTTTGACTTCTGGCCTCTCAGCCAAGGGGAATCTAAATTCACTGCATAAGATAAACCTTTTCCAACAATTTGTGAGCAAAAAACTGAAAAGTCAAAAACACCATGGCAAACAGTAGATGCTGACATCTTTGTCAGATCTCAGAGTAGCATATAATATGTTACATGAACTATGATTTCCAAGTAAACCATCTGAAGGTTGTATAATAAACTCATGAATTTCTTCAAGTGTTTGCCTTCTCAAGAAAGAAAACTAGATTTATCCATTACCTGTAACAGTCTCCCTTTCTTTTCCCACTAAAAAGGCTTCATATACAACTGAAGAGAAGAACTGTCTAAGTCTCAATGAAGTCTTAAGTTCAAATCATGTTATTTTCTCTCCTATGTGAAGCACTATACCATATGCTAACATCTATCTGCTTCAAAATTGAGCCATACAGACACATACTGAGTAACTCAAAAACCCCTTTCTTCTTTCCAAGATATTTTAACTCACATATGTGTCATATTCCCTTATCTAGAACACACAAAATAGATCCCCATGTGTTGGCAACATCACTATCTCCCCACAGAAGGATGTTCAGATGAGAGTGGTCCAAGAGAATTCTAAAAACCTTTTGACAAGGTCTTACTTATTTAGGGTCAGGTAAAACAGGAAAAGTACAAAGAAAAAAATGTTTCCTCTCACAAACCCAAAAATATTTGGGTTTTTATCTATTTCTTCTGACTATATCCAACAACGCTTTCCTAAAAAGGAAGCTTAAAAGCATTACTTTAGGTTGTATCTGCATAAAGCACTTCCCAATATTTTTTCTGTTATCTTAATTATTCACTTGAGCTTTATTCCTTTTGGCTTCACTTCCTCAGTATAACATACTGTATACACAAATGAGCACTGGTTGGTATTTTTTTTCAGGTGAAATAGTGAGTGATTGGGGCACATTATATACTCCTGTTTGTGCACACTAGAAACTCTTCACAAACATATTCAAAGTTACTTAAGTGTATTTGTAAGTGTGTGTATATATATACACAGACACACGTATATAAAAAAAATAGACATTACTGACAACCTCTCAATAGTAAGAAAACAAAACCTAAAAATTTATTGCTGGTTTACTATTTTTGAAAAAGGGAATATTTTTATACTCTCACTTACCAATTCTTCTACCAAAGATTCTGTTTTGCATTAGCTTTTATCAATATATTCTGCCAACGCTGCAGATTGAATTATTGTCTGTGATGTCTCAAGTAATGTGAAAAAAAAATTTTAAGTAATCATGTTAACTGTAGCCTATCTGTAAACCAGCAGACAGGAAGAGTGGTTAACACCACTGAAATCACTTTTTCAATAACTTCCCTGAAAACCAAACAGTACATGCTGCATTGTCACAGTGAATTGCAAAACTTCCTCCTTGTTACACATGGAGTGAAAAGTTCCATAGTCAAGTCAATAAAACATTACAGTGCAGGCATTTTAATGTGTGACTGTGATTTATATACATCCACTGAACAACCATTATATTTAAGGCCAAAATTTACTTCAGAGGAAGAAAGTTGTGTGCCTGCTCTCCTTTCCAGAAACAGTGGCTTTTAGCTGTTTTCTGAGTTTATGCCCATGGTCCTACACAGGCAAAATCAACAGAAAAGCTACTAATTGATGATTCAACATTAACCAATTGCAAACCAACCGAGGAATACAGTCCTATCTTTCCCCACGCATCAGGAAGCAGTCTTATTCAAACAAAAATTTGTTAATTAGGCTATTCCTCCTGGCTAGTTCCTGCAATTACCTATAAAAAGGTGACTTCTTGAACAACGTGTAATATAGAAGGAAAATTACCACCCAACAAACTTAGGTTGATCACCAGTCAAATCCTGAATTTAAGAATTCTCAGATGACTCCCATTCCACCATCTCTAACAATAACAATAAAGATATTTTTTCAACAAGCTTTCCCTCAAATTGAATTTCCTAGAAAAAGGTTACCATTGAGAATACTTCTAGTCAAGTTAAAAACTTGCATATTCATGTGTCAATTACAGAACTCTGGGATGAGGATACAGAGGCTGAGCTTATAATGCTTAAGAAGATACAGAAGTGGTCTTAATAAGAAAGTGCTAAAAATTTTCCTTCAGCAACACTAGATGAAGTTGCAAGTTAAAACAGTGTAATGAAACAGAAGTGACTATTTAAAACAAATGCACACAACAGTAGTTTCCTGAAAATAGAATAAAGCATTTAAAATTCAGTACTCTTCAAACCTACCAATAAAATATGGGGTTAAGAGCCTACTAATAAAATATAGGAAAAGAGAACTGGTCAGCCGATTATTAGTTGGACCTCCTGAAAGATGTTCAACTTCTTCTAAAACATCATTGACACAAAAAGAAAATGCTGAACAACAAAAATTAGCTAAGAAAAATACAAAACAGCAATAATGCTTCCACACTGTGACTGACAGCCAGTATATACAATATCTGCAAAACAGGTAAGCCATGATCTTTCCAAAATATTTAGTACCACACAATAAAGTTACTGGATGGTAGAAGATAGTTACACTGAAACTATACAAACATGATGAAGGAAGCATATCCATGCATTACTGATGTTTGATACAGCTGTGGTGGGGAGGGAAAAAAAAAAGCGAGCATTCAGATGGTTTAGGTTTGCTTTGGCTCCAGAAGAGACCCTTTTCAGTCCAGTCTTTGCCTCAAGGAAAGAAGAGCTGGCTGGCTCCTCTCACATGCTATTGCTCGTAAGGGTGAACATTTTTCAGTCATGTAGCTCAATGTGGCAAAATCAAATCCTTCTGGAGTTACCGGGAGAGGGCAGGGACAATACCCTAAAAATTAGATCAAGTCTGATTCCCAGAACTTCTCTCTACTTGCAGTCTCATAGTATCATACTAAATTTCTTTTGCTTAAAACAATTAAGGAAACATTGATCAGGACTCAATTAGCATTGCAGAGAAAAAAAAATATTTTACTGATTAATAAAATCCCACAATTACATTAATTAATAGATAACATAGTGATATGGTGAGAGATGGCTCTGAATTCCTTACTGACTTTGTAAGAAACTCCACAATACAGCAGGAGCCTGAAGTCAAAGAGCAACCCTGCAACAGGCTACAGTCCTGAAGTGCAAAAAATATGACTATAATATGGCAATTCTGAAAACTGCCACAGCAGTTGACGAGAGGGAAGCTATAGCCAAAGAATTTTTTGGGCCTCCTAGCAACATTCTTTGCTGTCATCACACACCACAGGTGATGTTGCTAAAAGCTGGTGCCTATGCCTGAACAAGTAGGGGCAAGAAGAAAGGGTGTGAAAATCCTCTTCCTTATTAGTCATGATCTGCCTGATGCACAATCATCAGGATGGAAAGAAAAGTGTGATGAGGACCACAGAAAATAGTTAATTTGACAACAGCAATAATATCATACATTGACTGCCTTTTAACTGGTAGTTCTTTTACTACTCTGTTAGTATTTTCCCCTATCAGCATGAAATGCCACATACATATACATACACAAAAAGACATAGTTATGAACTTCATAAATTGCATGCTACTTCTAGAGAATTTATTATACTCAATCAGGACTTGAGATGAAATTCTTATCCTCTTTGTTGGAAAAATCAATATAGCACACTCTTCAAACTTTGTTTTCTCACCTATTGTTATGAAACTTTTGAATGAAACTAAGAGTTTAAGAGTTTTAAATGTGATCTATGTTTTTAAAAGAGTAACTTCAGTTACGATCAGAGCATAAGACCAGTTTCTGCCACTCATTTTTATTAACAAGGTAATTACAACAACCACACTTGTTCTCATGAAATCAGCTTTTCTAAATCTCTCCATTGTATTCAGAATGCTTGGAACTGTGCTGATTCAGTGTTAGTATAGATACTTTACGACACTTAATACATTCAATATTGACATAATTTAAGACTTAAATCCTCTGCACTTTCCCTGCATATTGGTTTGGTGGTTATTGAAACCTCATGTTACAACAACTACTGACAAATTTAGTTATAACAACACAGATAGATAATTTAACTTTTTTCTCTACAAAAATATTATTCTTGCAACACTTCTGAGAAAAAATGATTCCTAAAACACATAATCAAAAAAATTTAGTCTGTTGTTTTCCTGTAACACTTCAAGATTTGTATTTGTCCAAAAATTTAAGTCCTAGCTACATGGACATAATGTTAATTGATTATGATGAGGTCAAAGCACATTGATATCTACTGTAAGTCTATTCAAGCACCATCCTAGACAGGGCCTTTCTGCTGCTGCATAAAAGCAGGAAATTATTCTCCTCAACTGATTGTGTCTGTCAAGTGAGCACACACACCAGTAGCTGCATATAAGACGGTCTTCATTTCCATAGGGATTCACGTTTAAATTCAATGAGTTTAAACTAAATTTTTAGAAACAAAAATTTAGCAGTGAGGATTGTCCTCTTCTATTTTTGGTAATGAGTTAGCATGAAGGATTTTCCTGAGTATAAAAAATGGTCTTGCTATAAAAGCTGCTATCTTTTAGAGGCTCAGTAGTTAAAATTGATGGAAGCCTTTGTGTATTTGTAATTTATCTGCTTTTAAATACTTACAGTGAAAAATACGGAAATCAATGTATGGATGAGAACCTCTTCTCTCTGTTTCAAATCCTGCCCGACTTCTTACTCGCACATCTCCTAGAAACAGGGTCAAGAGTGAAATAAAAGTGTGGAAGAGTGGCAGAGATAAAATGCAAATGAACATAGCCTGGAGGGGTAAAGATTCATGTACTTAATGGAGGAGAGTAATTCAAACAATAGGCCTACTTCAATGCTTTTTGTTTTAAAGGTGGAATTCAAAACAAAGTTTGAAGACTTGTTAAACATGCAATCACATGCTTTCTCGTCAAAATCTCTCCTGCCTAAGCATACGTTGCCAGAAGCATGTGATAAGCATTCAGATGAAATTAGGAAGAGCTTGCTACACCAGTATGGTAAAAATGCACCTTAATATGACAGAAAACACAAACATTTAAAAGTTGATTTGTTCCTCAGTAACACACATAAAACGATAACATTTTATAAAATACAAAAAAGATTCAATTTCTAGAAATGGTAGCTTTTAGCAAATAAGCTAGTTAAAATATGGTTTTATTTTACATAATAGAATATTTTCCCACTAGCATTTACTTACTTGTGCTCAGCTGTTTGAATATTACACAAGAGCCTATTAAAATACCAAAACTCAGTATTAAAATTTTATCAAACTATTTTGCACTGTAATTAGCTTCAACCTGAATCTTTTAGCATGCTAGTTGACTTCTACTTATCCATTTTACCAACTGAAAGCTGATCAGTATTCTTTCATTAGGTACTTGTATCCATTAATATAAGTAGTTCACTTAGATTAAAAGCTTTCACTTAAAATCCTTTTGCAATTACAAATTTGGACAAATCTTTGAGGATCAAATGCAATAGTGTTTCCCTCCTCAAATCCTAACAAAAAGTTAAATTGAATATGTGCAAATGTTCTGGTTTCTAATTATGAAAATCCTTCAAGTGTAGTATTCTCCTCACCTCAAACACAGCGCTTTTTACATGAATCCAAAATAAGTAATTAACAAAAGCAACTATGACTGAGTTTATAAAAACAAAATAAAAATCTAGCTATTTAATTTCCAGCAACTAATAGACACCTTGAAAGTACTTTTCCCTTCTTTTCTTTTCCAACTGGCTAATCTGTAATGCTGAAGCAGGCAACTTGTCAGAAAATAGCTAAAGATACTGACTTAAGCTTTTAATGCTCAACAGGCATCTTTGTAGAGATACTTATCTATAAACACTGACATACCTATAGTGATACACTTGACATGAATGTTATCTTGTGAACCATGCTGGAAGGATCACAAAAAGTAAGTAGGTCCAGGGTTCCCCAAATACTGGGTGTAAAATTTGTATAACAGTAAAAACATACTAAATACATGTGCCTTTCAGTAATTAGCCTTTTTATTTTTTGAAACTGAAAACCTTAAAAGAGCTGCAAGGGAAAGTAACCTGACAATATATTACTTAAAAATGCTTCAAGCATTCATTTGAACAGAGTGCAAGAGACTTGTCTCCTTCCCGGCAATACAGAGGCAGCAGATTGTAGAAGTCTTCCGTTAGGCAAAAGCAACTGGTGAATTTTATTTACAAAATAAATTAATGAATAGGAAAAAGAGAGGAAACTTTGGAAGAGAGGAGGCGAATGCATTAGTAGCTGTGTATGAAAATATCAGTTTACATGGAGGCAAATTCAACTTTCATTACCTTTCACTCATATTTATCTGGGTAATCAGGCATAGCTACAGCTGCGTGAATGAGTTCACCAGCTGAATTAAAAGAAAAAAGACTTTTTTAGTTGAGCTATTTTTTTACAGAAAATGTGATATAGATTTTGTGAATTATATTTAGTTTTCAAGGCAGTTCTTTACTTTCAAAATCTACAAACCACAACATAAATCAACAGATAGTTTCAGTCAATGTACAATTAGGTTTTGGCAAACAATTTACTTGGTTTAAGTATCAAGAATAGGAAAAGTTCACAGAAAAATACCTGAAGACCAACATGGAATTCTGCAAACAAAAAACAAGCAGATTCACCTGATAAATGATGTCCAGAAAATTTCTCTCTGCTTTGTTCTTTTTTATTTACTAGTACCTTGCCTAACAGTATGGACAGAATAAGTATCCCTGTTACCCTTGAAATGCCTGCAGTGTTGAGGATTTTGATTAGGAAAACATGAAAAACTGTCTACAAGTGAAATGCAGAAGTGCAACTAACTACATTGCTTTTAACAGGAATTACCAGAACATTTATTTACAGGAATATTTAGTCAAAAGAAGAAATTATATATTATAAATGCACATCACAAAGTAACAAAAAGGCAACTGTAATAAGATACAGCTAAAATGAGTGTATTTAGTTGCCTACATAAGAAATGAGAAATTCCCAGCAAGGAAAGCAAAATATTTTCATTAAATAGTTGTTAAACAAAATTATCTCTCCTTAATCATGGTAGAAGAGGATATTTTTTTAAAAATAAAGATTTCAACAATGGATTAATTATTTAGAATACAATTGTATTCATTCTGGAAAAATATATCACTTCTACAGGACTGGAATGTATTACAGCAAGCAAAGTAGAAAATTCTATTGCACCAAAACAAAGGTAGAAAGAAAAGCAGTCTCCATTACCATTGTACAGGACTGCTGCATTTTTGAAGATTTCAGACAGCAAATGTGCTTGAAAAATACTGGTACAAGCGGATTTTGATGATAGCATTTTTCCATCTGAAGTTTCTAAGTATATGGAAGCAGAAAAAGGAATAGCATCTAACTGGCTACCTGTCATGAAATTATGTGCCATTAGCACAGTGAAACTGATCTCTACTGCAGAGGTACAGTTAGTCCCAAAACATCCAGGAACACTGGGCCGCCATTATGCATTCACTGTTCAGTTACTGTAAACTGCAAAGATTAATAGACCCCAAATCCTTGTGCTTTCACACAACATAATGTATTTGCATCGATTTGCTTGGGAAATTCCGTGCAAGTGTTTTGTAACCCTGTCACTCAAATTATGCAGAATTTAATTTTAAGGAAGAGACATGTTTATCTTCATAGGTAACTTTAAGAAAAGGCACAAGACATCTCGAATTTAAGATCACTTTTATCAGACAAAAGGACACTGTTACATAATTCCTACAAACAGCAACAGATGTCCAGCCTCAGAGCCAATCATCATTACGGTAGTTGAAAGACAATTTAAATTCAACACCTAAACCAAAAGAGCTTTTGAACAATTTTCATTTATTTAGACCTTTACAAGTATATCAAAACAGTTACAAAATCTTTTTAAACAATGAGATCACACAGTCTGCTCACAGGTATATTTCCTTGGGGGGAGCACAGAAGTGAAAGCAACCTGACTGACAGCTTTTATCTTAAGTGTCCCTTCTTTGGCCACTTTTAGCCACTCTGAAAAGACTCCTCTGTTACCTTAAGGTAACACATTCAAGTCCAGCATCTTAATGACAGTGGACTTCCAGGAACAATTTTTTCCCCCTCTTTGAGAGTTTCTGTGATTCCAAAGAATCAAGAAGAAGATTTAAAAGTGTGAAGCCTTCCTTTCAAAACCTGATTTTGTGCACAAAAATGACAAAATATCTGGTGGCCGAGTATTCAGCTATATTTTTTTCCAGAATAGTTCTACATGATCAGATTGCTTGCATTTTTAAGACAAAGGTCAAACAGGTAGAAACTCAATTGAAGACTAAATAAATCACAGAAGAATGAATCTAAGTGGGAGGTTTGCAGCTACAACTGAAAACAGAAAAGGAATCAGGGCTGTAACAAGACTTACCTTGAAAGAGATCGCTTAGTTCCTGCCCCTCTCTCAGATTCCTGCTTACAGGGCAAGGACAGCTCTGATACTTACGAGGCAGCTGAAATGCCACAGCTGACATCCCCTGCGTTAGGGTTACACAGCACATACTTCGTGCTACCCTAACGCTCCAGCGTGGCACAGTAACAATGCAGCAGCTGCTTGGGGAGCTGAGGCCTTTGGAGCAGGGGCAGAAACCTCAGAGATCACGGAGGACAGCTGGGAGCAGAAATTACGACAGCCACCTCAAGGTAAAGCACCCAAGTCAAAGCCAGGAAGTTCTGAAGAGCAGGATTTCCAGACAGAATTACTAGCTTCACAGAGTAAAGTTCCTATTAAATTTGTTGAAGAAACAGATGATAGGTCAGCTGAATATGCCAGAATTAAAGCAAACTGAATACGACATAACTGCCACAGGAGAAGAGCGTGCATCACACAGCAGCTTTCCTCCAACGTCTCTAAAGGAGAGTAAAATCTCTCTAAAGGAGCGTAAAATGCTCCAGTTTTAGTTGAGAGGTGCACACTCACCAATACAAGCAGTCAGTGCCCCACACTTTCTACTCCACGCACAGCAGCAAAACTTTCAGGTAACAGAAAACAGTAAGAAAAAGAAACCAGAAAAGCAAATAAGAGAAAAAAAAACCAAGGAAGTGTCAAGATTACAGAGGCACTTAAAAGATATTTTGAGAATTCCTCACAGTTGCTGAGAAAAGTAGCTGAGGGGTGTAGTAGCTGAGGTGATGCAGATGTATTAGCCTTTCCAAGGTCTTAAAAGAAAAATTCTACAATGCTGCATCTGTATCTATATTTTAAAATAGTAAATAAGCCACTCGGGAGTGGCTTAGTGTATATTTTGGGAATGGGGTATGACAGATGAGTCATTACAGTCAACCCTGTTTGTTTATACTGACACACTGATGAAGACAGTTAGCAGTTAGTTGTTTATTTTGTGTAGCCCTAAAATTTGATCTTTTAAGTGGAACCTGGCGACACTGCTATACCACAGGAATTCCAATTTACTTGGTGTAAATTAATTTCCATTGGATTCCCATTGGAACAGCTTAAAAACATCAAATGAAGCAACTTTACAGCCAGCACAGCTAAACAGAGGAAGAGAGAGGTATCCTAGATACCCTTGGCTTTATATTTTCGGTCTGTTAAAATAAACATCTTATCAAGGTACATGTTACTAGTAGGTATACCCTATATGGAATAAAACCCAAGAAAGTAAAAGGCAAAACCTCTCATGACTGTGCCTAACGTCCCATTAAGTTACAGCTGAGGATTCCTTACAGCTCACTCCACTAAAATGTACTACGATAAATAAAACAAAAACAAAACTTCATCACAATGCTGTAGGAAATGCAATGCTTCACATTTCTTGCAAAAAAATTCTAATGGAATATATTAACTCTTGAATCTACTCTGATATGAATGTTTCTACATACTGATGCAACCAACTGTTCAGCTTTCAGGCTGGTCTTTTTTACAGTCCATTTACACTTACAAAAGTACTATATATGTAAATAGTTGCTAACTTGTACAGTACAGTGTACATAACATTTGGGAGAACCAAGTGATCCCTAATAAGGGAGAAAATACTACAAATTTATCATACTGATTAAAACATCCAGTGAGCAATTTTTTGTTTGCTTTTTGGTACCCTCCTCCCCCCACCCAAGTTAGAACAGCGCGAATGAGTTATGCCAGCAAGCAAGACTTACGCTATTCATAACAAGCACCAATCACATAGTGTAATAATTAATTCCAATGAGAGAACAAGTGAAAATTTCATTTACTCAGCATCATATTCTGATTATTTTCCAGTTCTGCCTATGAGAATAGTTAAAGATTTTCCAGACAAATGAGATTTTTCCCTCAGTTCAGGAGTATATACCAAGAACTACAGGAAGTCATGCTTTGCTTTCCTCTTGAATTACTTGAGCATTATCACATATCCTTCTGCAAAAATGATGGGCCTAACTACTTCATTTTAAGTTTTGAAAGCAAAATAAAACTACTTACAACAACAACAACAAAAAAAAACCCAGCAGCTTTTTCAGTAAACATTTAGAAGTCAGCTTATTATGTCCTCCTCTTAACAGATCTCCAAAGTAATTAAATTCTCTGATCAAAAATCCTTCAGTAGACAGTCACTGCTGTAGTATTAACAACCTCACAAATATAAAAACCCCAAAATAATTGAAAAACAAAAATGTGAAGATGCTAAGTCAAAACTGGATTTTTATGTAAATATGCAGGCATATGCCCACATATGTAAGTTAAGACTATGAATTAATATACACACACATGTACACATGTGTATAGCTTACAACTCTAAATCCATAGACAACGCAGTTATGAATTTCTGGGGTCTTTAACACATACAATATACAACCAAACTGAAAAGAATCAGGGCATAAAAAGACACGTTATGGCTGACTGAGTTGGAGATGGTTAAGAATTAGTAATCACTAGCTGTTGTTCATTGAGCTGCGAGAGATATCATGCAAACACATTCATAGTCCATTTCAACACAAAATCATAGCTCAAGATGGCTTTAAATTAAGTGGCATCATTTTGCAGTGAAACAGACTTAGAGCACATACACAGTCCCCAGACCATCTGCACCACCAGCAGCCTCCAGAAGAGGTGCGGGAAGTACCGAATCTGGCAGCCAGAACTGCGAGAGCTTTGCATCTTTCTCCTCTCAACAAGTGACCTCAACTCCTTCTGTGCACTCGGTATCACAGAAGGTCTCCCCTTGGGTGTCTTCCCCTCCCAGTAGTATGCTCTCATTTGAATTCAGCTTTAGTCTTTCTCTAGTTCCTACTCTGAAAACATTCATAGGTTGACTGAACTCCTGGCCCTGTCACGCATCCTCTCCTTCTCAAGTCACCTCCTAGGATTAATGAGAAAAATATTGCTTAAAATCATATCATTACTTTAAGAACACCTTGAGCATTTCATATCCTCCATATTGAAGTTTTTAAGAGTGCGTGGTAACTCTCACACAAATGTTCCCTAAGCTACAGTTTTAACCAGAAGGATACCATGCAGAGGTGGTAAATTCATCACAGAAATAAAGGTCATTCATGAGTCACTTAGAAAACTTAACTTCTACCAAGCACTTTAGGTTAATTACAAGAACTTTTCTTTGGTTTTGTTTGTTTTGTGGTTGTTTTTTGGTTTTTTTTAATATAGGAGTAAGACATCCAACACAATAATTAACTCAGGAAAAAAGAAAAACAAAAAAATCCAACAACCAAAAAACCCAAGTCAACGCAAAAGAACCCAAACTCTTCTAAAGAATCTAACCAAAATGTTATCCAGGAGAAAGAGAATGATAAGTTTATGAATTCAACACAAATATTTAAAAGTTATTATTTAAATCAATTATAGATATTAGAACTTTGCAATACAGAAACTGGTATGCTTACCTAGCATACGAATGTACAACGCAGTCTGATCCGAGCTGTCATAGGAAATTGCTCCACGTCTCTGCAAAAAGAGAAAGTATATTTTATGTAAGTTAGAAATAAATAATTTTTAAATTGAAGTGAAAATATTAGTTGACCATTTCCAATTTAACTCTCAAAAATAATTTTAGAAATCTTGCATCTTTCATGAAAAATGCATCTTTCAAATACATATATGTCTACTAATTTTGATTTAAGTAGGGACAAAGGAAGGACAAGAATTGGTAGTGAAAAAATTATGAAAAACAGGACCAAAGTGTCAGAAAAAAAATACCCTCATAAATTTCTTTTCAGATGTTCCTCAATCATTCCTCGCAATAAAAAAAAAGACACGGAACAAGATTACACAGACACAAAAAAAATGCTTCTCACAGCCTTCTAGAGCGTCATACTTGAAAAAAATACTTGCAGCTCCTGGTTTATCTATTTACTTTTGCCTATGGGCTATTTTCATCTTTCAAATGTAAAAGTAGTTTTAAAAGAAGTAAAAGAAATCAAATGACACCATAACTGCAGTCCTAGGCTGCCACACTGCTTTCTGTAGGCAAATCAAGGTACCACTGAAGCAAGAATACATAAAGACATTTCAGAGAAAACAAGCAAGTATTATTTCATATTTTATGATTAAAGTCTAAAAGAGTCATCAAGTTATCCATGCACAATATCGAGATACTCCCACATAAGCTGTATTTCTTACCTACACAAGACATGTGTTTCATACCTATTCAGCTAATGGATAGTTATAATCTGGGCAGTCTCACAGGTGCTGGTGAAGTGGTCCTCTAACAGCTAAAAACTGGAGGAATGTTCTCATTGCTACACAACAGTGGCACCACATAGTCTTCAAAGCTTGGCTTGACCTAGCATCCAGCCTTTACTTAATCCAGCATCCTGCCTTTACTGTGCTTCAACCATCTTCTGCCACTTCCTTCATTAATGTTACTTCTTAACCCTGGGATTAAAGGATCACTTCCACAATCAGGTTGTTATTTAAAGAAATAAGATTTTAGAGGGAGAGGCGGGGGAGTGGTGCACGTTAGAAACTCCTATGACCTTCCCCTGTCCACTACACTTCTTTCTTACACTGAGGACAGTGAAGTCCTCAGTGCCGTGAAGAGTCATCAAACCCCTCTGGGAACTTCACATAAAAGCCAGCCTGGTGGTGAACACAAGCACCCATTTTTTCGTCACTGCAGTAGGAGCAATGTTATACAAGGGACACACAACAGCCTGAAAATGTGCAAGCTAAAAAGACAAGAAACCAAATCATGTTATGAAACAGGAGAGGAAAAACCAGATATTGGTTATCAAAAATAATTGTAAAAGAAAGAAGATGAAATAAAGAAAAATTTCTTGGAAGGGGGAAAAGGCAGAACTGCTTAGGTGCATTTATCTATCAGAACAAACTGAATGAACACAAAGAAAGACCAGAGATAAATAACCTCTGTCACAGTGATTTGTACAAATGATGTGCTAAGACTCCAAACTCCTTAGTTACACTTAGTTTTTTAAATATTTTTCATGCTAAAACAAGAAAGAAAACCTTACACTTGAAGTCAGAGAATTTTTCCAAAAGTAAGCTTAATATTTAATTACAGAAATTACCCAAGACCTAACTCCAAATGGGGTCCAATGATAATACTGTTGTAAAGACTACAACAAAGAACTATACAGCACTTTTTTGTTGTCTCAGCTTTTGTTCTGTATTTCCTTGGAGGATCACAAACCATGCAAATAATTTTTCAAAGTATGTTTGTACAGCATTTCTCAAAGCAGAGTGCCTGTCCTAATAGGAAAGGCAGAAATGCAACTCATCAGCCAGAAAATTGTGCAGATTTCCCACTAACATTTTCAAATTTCTTCATATATATAACCTACCTTTGAGTTTTAGCAAATCTCAGTTGAATACATTTTCAGTAGCCTGGAACATTTCATATCACTGACTAGGCACAATCAGTGATGTAATTTAGTGCTAACGTGCAATTTGCACCTGTCTATCACAGATTTCTAGACATGTTCAGTACAGTTCTGTAATCTAATACAGGAGAAAGCTAAGCACACATGCAGCTTCAAGACCCATGCCCAACTGGAGCATTAGTCTCCAAGAAGGAAAACAATATGCAAAAATTTACTGAAAAATCAACACTTTTCATACGTTGATTCTAAAATATTACTTGCTGTCTAAAATCTAAAATATTTTGCTAGATAAAGCAGTATAAAATAGTACATCCATGTATGATATCAAACACAAAGTACATTTTTAAGAACATAAAGTAGTTGCTTATACAGACAAGTGATTTTGTTTGGCAAGGACCTTGAAAAATCTCACAGAAATCTTTGAACAATCAAAACTTTTAAAATTACCTTTCAAAGTTTGATTTCCTAAGGAAAAAGAGACTATTTATTGTGTAAACTTCACTAGTAATACTTCACAAATAGTAGGACATTTTCAGGTAGTTTTGTAAAACTGTAGAGGTCCTAAAGATATTTCATTCCTTGAAATTTGTTAAATAAAATATATAAGAGGAAAAAACTTATTAGCAAGTTTCACCAACAGAAAAAGGGTGGGTGGTGAATGGTCAGACCTCTTACCTTTAGACCAGGCAATTAAGTGAGTTAGGAGCACTATGGGGGGCAGTCAAAGGATGGAACTAATGGTAGAGAGGTTTTTTAGCTACTTGTGATAGGTAAGTAAATTAAATAATACTGCACTCACCCAGAAATGGATTGCTTTATGTCAGCTTATACTGCAAACAGGTAACAGACTATCTACCGCAGGTTGAAGTGTATCACCTATTTTTCCACTTCAAATAAAATTGCCCATATATTTGTTATATTACACCCTACACTACTCTAGAAAAATGCAAGGAAAAAGGACCAAAAAGAGAGAAGTAATTTAATCTATCCTGTGTGTTGTTCTTTAAGATGCACTGCCCAGATGCCACTATTTAAATCCAGCAAACAGAAAGACCAGATTTAAAGCATCAGCTTCTACTGAGATGTGAACTGACACGAGGCAAATTCATAAGCAAGAAGGCAAATGTGTCTTCAAGAACTGAAGTTACTGTAAAGCACTCTACAGTTCAAACAATATAATTACCAGGATTTTACCCTTGTTGATGACCAAAAATGCCGCCCTCCTCATTGCTAATCACAGGTCCACTTTCTGTAGCCTACACTCAGACTATACTTAACCTTAACTTAAACTTACAACAAGACTAAACCTAAGCTAAAAATGTACCTTACTGACACAGTTGAGATGACCATAGCAAACGTTGTATTACCCTAGGGAAATATTGGCTAAAATCTTCATGGACTAAGACTGACATCTGGCACTTCAAAATACCATGTTATTGTTAATATTTTTAACTCATTTAGCATAAAATTTTATTTCTAAATCTCTGTTACCTCTTTGGTATACCTGAAGCTTTGCACCTGTTAATAACAATACTGATCCTCTGTACAAACATCAAACAAATAAGCATCATTCCAACAGGCAGACAGACTTACTAGCGTTCAAAGTTAAGACAATCCTAATCTGTTTAGGCAGGTTCCCTTTTCAAGCACAAGGACAACTTTGGTCGGTTGGAATGTTTTCTGGACTCCAAATGATTAGGTGAGGTTCTGAACTGCTCTCCTCCTTACAGACATGAGCACAGCCATCTGAACTGGGTAGGTTGTTTGGCTTCAGCAGTGAAGACTGATGTCAGAAAGATGACTGCGAAGAATTGTTTATACTGGACTTCCACTTTGAAAACCTCACCTTAAACTTCAGTTTCATATTAGAGTGTCACTTATTCTTCCAAAGGGCAATACAGTAAAAAAGCTTTCACTTCTCTTTTGTGACATATTTGTGGAAAGTGAACGAAAGAAGTTCAAACTAAAGTGGGAGATTCACTAATCTTTAAGAATAATAATGATACAAGGACTCTGCAAAAATATGCAAAGCAAGTATCTACCAGAATTTAGATTTAAGTCAGATCTTTCTGAACATCTTTTCATAGAGTGTAGGAAGTTATTAAAGGCCATGCAATGGGAACTACATGCCAAAATAGCACACAGATACATCTTCAAAGGGAAACCGCTTCAGTGATGCTAGGGAGTACAGCATATACATGTATCACTTGGAAACGGAGCACCTGCTGCTGTTTGTGCCAAACAGAAACGTTTCCATTGATGTATCAGTTTTATCACATGGACTTCCCAAACTTGTTCAGAACAGTCAGGCTCTTCATTTTGGCAAGTGCCAGCTAGCCAGCTTTTGGACTGTCAAGCGAAACAACTGCTGGTCTCATTCTGCAACAAAACCTGGTAGAGCTGTTGGCCTTCAAAATTCAGTACTGCCCATGAGAAAGAACCATCTGAGCTTTTTGATAGTGAACACGACCCCCATTTTGTGACACTGTTGTTTACTCAGAAGGTGGGAAAGAAAAGACAGAGGACAGAGGGCAGCACAGCCAGGCAGGGGTTTTTACCTACTTGGCTTTTCTGTCCAAGTTCTTTGCCCAGCTATCAGAGGATTGTTCTCAACCACTCTATCAGTTTGGAGAAGAAGAACTTACCACTTCTCCAAACTGAACAAGTTGGGAGAAGTTGTTATATCATGGCAATTGCGATTTACTGGTGACACTGCCTCAAACATTCACACTTAAAAATTATTTAAGATCATAAGACAGTTTATCAACTAGAAGTTCCTAGAATTACAAACTAATTAGACCTTATTTCTCCAACTAGCATTGGATTTCAAAAGCAAGACTGTCATGTATGATAATTCTTAGAATTATTTCAAGTAATTAAAAGTTACATGCTAACATAAAGCCATAGTTTTCCACATGGTACCAACAAGATTTTACTCACTAAAGCATTGGAAAATGTTCAATTAAAGCCCTTGAACTGCCACTGAACTCAGGTAAGTCACTGCAAAATGGTCTTACTACTGGTACCTAAATATTTCACTGGAGTTCAAAGAAATACTTTTAAAGTTTATCAAACCAGTGATAAGAAAATGTAGCTGAATTTCAG